GGCACCAGCCAAGTCACTGTCTCCCAATGCCAAGTGAGAGCATGCCAGGCACTTCCTGCTGTAAACAATCTACCCGCAGAATGAGAAAGACGAGAGGAAACCTTTCAATGAGAAACAACAGGAGACACAGAAGACCCAGTTGCTCAATGAAAATTTCTCTTGTGAACAAATGTGATCAATTTGTCAGACAAGCTCCGGAAGCCTGTTTGAGGAAAATGTGTGTGTGTGTGTGTATGTCTGCTTCGACAAATGGCATTTCTCAGTGCAGATGAACACATCGCAAGTGCTCAAGCCTTATGCAGGCAGGCTTTCTATATACAGCTTGGCTGAGTTCACAGAACATAACATAGCTGTTTCCTGTTTCTGTTACTTTCTGCTGCTGGTGTAAGGCTTACCAGAACAACTGTCTCATCACTTTTATTTGGCCTTTTTTTCTTTCTTTGAAAATGTAAAAGAAAATGTTTCAGCACCTAAACAAGTAACCCCCATGTTTCTGTAGTTTTTGGATACAGCTTTGCTGACACTGTAGTCAGTGGAAGTGGAATCAACAATTCCACTTGTTAGAACACTAAACACATGCTCCTCTGGCCTGCTAAAGGAACCTATTGCTATCTGAAGCTTTTGAACCACCACATAAGGGGTCCATTTTTACAGGCTGTATTTACCAGAACACAATATTTATTCAGTTGTGTTTAAAATCACTCTCTTTTACAGTCTCTGTGTGTGGGAATGCAGTAAAAGAGGAAAAATGCAAACTCTAATGTATGTCTGGTACTTGTGAAAGGCAGAATTTGTGTATTAACCCCTGATTGAGTAAACCAACTTGAGGAGAAACATGTCTGTTTGTACGTAAACTGCCATGTTTGTAAGTGTATACATGCTCAAACCTAATCAAAACACACAAAGAAAGAGCCACACATGCAATCTGACATCCATGAAATTAGCTTAGGATACACACATAAGCAAATTTTTACAGACTGGCACACATACCTGCCATTCTAAATCACATAATATTTCTTTTCATATGAAAGACACATTGAATTGTCAGGATGGCAGCAGCTGAGGCCTCGTATTAGACCTGATGTCAGAGCCAGTGAGCCAAAGATGACATTAATGTGAGAACTCCTGTCCCTTAAAGCTTACCCTGTCTGCATTGAAACAAGAGCCAAGTCTGCACACAGCTGAGCACCGTCCAACCGTCTGCAGTTTAATCAATGAGAAACTTAGCCTATTTTACTGCTTACCTATTTACAGGCTGCTTCGCCTAAGAGATGAGGTGTCTTTGTCAATAATGTATTGCACTGACAGCAATAACCTCAAGCTGAGTTACACCACCATCGCTTGCAGCATGAAAAGCTCTCCGTCTTCCCTCCTCTGAGACAAGTTTGGGTCACTCTAAAAACAAATGACAGCCTGCAAAACAAATGTGGCACCGCAACTAAGTTTTAAAAGGTTTGACATTTACCAAGGCTCATTTATAGGGCTGTTCACACTGAGCTTATTGGCAGTCCCAATTACGCTGTTATAGGACCAGGACCTGGTGCATGGGGTATGAATGAGAAGGCCGCTGGTCGGCTGTGCAAACCCAGTGGGGTGTGCCGTTAGTGGCCTGTAGGAGAATGGTCCAGTAGATGAATGAACACCTGGATTAATAGGGTCAGTGAGCACTAAAGCTGCTGAAGAAGGAGAATAACAGCCAAGGCAGCCATTTTACGTTCTACCTTTGCTGCTTGTCTCATGGAGAATTTTTCTTTACTAGCTTTAGAGGGGGCAGCTAGAGGGTCCAGTGGGAGAAAAAGTGAGTGAATTCAAGACATTTTGTATCTGTGTAATCTTTATAGAACACAAGAGAAGGGGCTTCAATACATGCAAATATAATTAAATAAAATCTCATCCGGTTTCAGGTGGTCCTGGGGCAATTGGTATCAATGATTACTAGACTATATCTAGACTTTATCTCTGACTTTATCAAAGACCAAACTCACTTGAATTTGTGAACACCAATTTCTGATTGATGTAATTTCCCTCTAAAAAGATGCTTATGATGAAAACAGAACTTTTTTGGGTTACTCAAATGCCATCTCTGAAATATGAGACATTTTCACCTTAATCTAATGGGAAAGGATTTAGCTTAACATGCCATGAGAGAATCCTAACTCTCCCATGGAAGTGCTTTGTAATGCAAGCTAAACAGAGGGTTCTGGCCCTTTAACTGGAGCTCTGAGTGCATGGCAGGCTAATAGATGCTGTCCAAAGGTGCTAATGGATGGCAACCTGAAAAATGGTCTTATCTGAAAAGGTCCAGGACAGTTATAAATGAAATAATCGTGCTGGGCGCATTAATCTATGTCCATGCCCTAAAAGGGCAGACCTCAGCTCACCATTTGATCCTTGTATGTGCACACATGTTTGTGAGCAACCTACCTCTTTTGCTAATCTTTTCTTATTTAATTTAATCAATGCGTGTATGTGTGTGTGTGTGTGTTTGTTGTGTGTGTGTTCCTGGCAAATGTTTATCCAGATAGTCTACCAAGTATTTGGCAAGACTAAAAAAATGGCGAATGAGCAGAGCATGAAGTGAAAGAAATGTGTAGAAATTTGACATTTATGTTTATGATCACCACTGGACATCACCAGTGGACCTCAAACATTAAAATGGCACACAGTTATTGTGCATGATGTTCCTGGAATGCCAAGCTGTCCAGACATGCATGGAGATTGGGGCATCTAAAGGACGATCTCCATCCTATTTATATCAGAAGAAACTCATTTAATCTCACAGCCCGTCTCCCAAATACAATATTTGAGAATTAATTTGTTCGATCATGTAAATTTAATGCATTTTCTCAAATCAATTAACTGTTCAGTTTCAATTCAACTCTTTGATTCTGTAATAATTTCAGTATCCCCAAGTTGAACACAAAACCCAAACTCTGAGATGAATAAGTTTCAATTTTTAGACAACACTGCCGTCTACTGGACAAAATTAAAACAACAATACAAGTGCAGCAGTTTCCACTGAGATAAGTACACCTATTCTATCGTCTGTTTGTCCTTACATTTTTTTTCTTTGCCAAATTCAAATGTCGACACATTTTTGCTCATTGGAGCAGTGTTCATACACGTAACACTCCCAGTGTGTGACCAAGTTTTTGTGTATTGTCTCATTTTCCTTTTTAAGACATCCAAACATTTCTTTTTGATTCTTGCACCACATTCAGTCAAATCAGAATGTCCAAACACCTGAGAAGCAACTATAAAATAATATGTAACAGGGTTATAAGCCATCAACATAATGCTTCTTTTTCAAATACCCTCAAATTTTCACTCTTGCAAATTACATCTCTGTAAATGTAGTGTTTGTTTTTTTGTTTAGGGAAAAGCAATGTTGCCATCTACTGAATAAAGGGTGAAAATGCATGTCAAATACTGGACTGATTTGCTAAATGATTGGACCGGATGACGAAAACAAAAGTTGAAAGGTAAAAGAAAAGTAAGAGGGAAAGGCAGTGGATTTCTACTGAATTATTAGAAATGCTGATATGCAATGTATATACCAACTCAACAGGAATGTTGAAATGTGAAAGAGGAAACGTAACAGGTGGAGATCATTTCAACACAGAGATAAAGAATTCTCATGAAAAAGGTCAAAGGAATCAGTACACCATTAATCTTACATATAAAACAGAGACAGAGACATAAGAAAGACTTGAAGAGATCAGAAAACTGCAGGTGATGTCATTGTAAGAAGGCAAAAGGACAAGTGAGTAATTGTGAAAAACTCATGGAGGTTTAAGGGATACATTGAATAAAAATACGCACAAAAACACCAAACTCTGTCTAAAACCTTAAGTAGATATCAAGTATATGGTCAGGTGTTATCACGTATTCAGCATTGAAACAGAGTGAAAAATCTGAATGTATAATAAAAACTGAAAACACTTTTGAAATTTAAAAAGATGTATAAACATAAAAAAAATCAGTAATCAATCAAAAAGATTGGAAGTGAAACTAAAAAACTTAAAAAAATAGAATTCCAAAAAGTATTAAAATGAACATGGGCATGAGCAAGCCAAAGTGTCTGTCATCGGGCCTGTCATATATAAATATATATGCACTGCAACAAAGGTCAAGGTGGGGCTCGTCATTTGAAAACTTACAAATAGAATCACAAATTAAGAGTCTGGGAAGGATCAAAGACAATAAGGTTGAGACACAAGGACTTTGAAAGGGGAGAAAATGCAAATGACTCTTCATTCAAATATGTGCCATTCAAATGATTCTTGGTAAAGCTTGCAGGCTTTACACATACAAATATCTCTTAGAGATTAGCTTAAACCTATGTTCATACTAGAGAGCCACTATGTGGTAAACTGATTTAAAAACTTTTATAACAAAGCCATTGTACTCCTTTGGGAGTTAAAGTGGTCAGCCATGCACATAAATTCAGTTTCAAACCAATGTGAAAGAAGTGCTTTGTGAGTACAGTTTAATCACTATGGTTACAAGAAAGTACAATGTTCTTTGTGGCTATATAATGTTCCTCTGAAATACACTGACATAAACTGCCTCATGAAAAGCATATTCAATCTTATTTACATTTTTGTATGGACTGAAAAGCACTGAGATGCAAATAAAAGCACTTTTACTCTCATTGCTCTGCAGTTAGGCTGTAGTATGTCCTCAGAACAAAGCTTGGATTATCTTTGGACTGGATAGCGTGGTCACAACTATGCCACAACCAACAGAAGACTATCAATTCAACAAGTGTGTCAGTGTTGGTTAGAGTGAAAGGATGATGTGAATAAAAGGAACAGCAGAAGAGATGCCAGAAAAGGGAAGACGTGGTAAAGATAGGAAATAAAGCAGATTTGAAACTTCAGTGGAGAAGGAGAGGGAGGAGGGGAGGTTTGTAGTTGGTAGACGAGAATGTGACGTCAGTGGCTTGTTGGATTGAGGTGCTGTGTCCTGCTGATTTTAATCCTAACTCATTAAGGAACTGAGAGCAAGTGCCTGTGCAAGCTCTCTGGGGAAGGAGAGAAAGTAACAAGAAGGAATACTAAATCCATCACAAGAGATAAGTAGGGTCACTTCACAGCTTGAGCGATAGAAGAGACAGGACGTTTATTGTTTTTCCTTCTCAGTCTCATGCCTGCTATCCAACATAGCCGTTTCTCTTGTTTGTCCTAAACCTGTCAGATCGCAATCACTGTGTGGACTGTCCAAGCATGCCCACGAACGGAATTAACAGGGCTCTGAAGCTACAGTTTGGCCTCATCAACTATGAGAACCGCTACCTTACAGCTGAGGCCTTCGGCTTCAAGGTGAATGCTTCAGGCCTCAGCATGAAGAAGAAACAAATCTGGACCTTAGAGCAAGACGAGCAAGATGGTCAAGTTGTGTTCCTTCGCAGTCATCTGGGACGCTACCTGGCTTCTGACAAGGATGGAAAGATCACATGTGGGGCAGAGAAGCCTGATCCCGAATGCCGCTTCCTTATAGTGCCCCAGTCTGATGGTCGCTGGGCCCTGCAATCGGAGCCATATCTGCGTTATTTCGGGGGCTCAGCTGACTATCTGTCCTGCTTTGCCCAGGCCATTGGGGAACAAGAGCTATGGGCTGTTCATTTGGCTTTGCACCCACAAGCCAGCCTGCTAAGTGTGGCACGTAAGCGTTATGCCCATCTGTCTTCGTCAGAGGGAGAGATCTCAGTGGACAGCAACATTCCCTGGGGAGTGGACTCTCTGGTCACCTTGGTATACCTGGATGGCAAGTACAGCCTGAAGACCTGTGACAGCCGTTTTCTCAGCAATGACGGTAAACTGGTGAAGGAGAACACCAACACAACAAGTTTCACACTGGAGCTGAAATCTGGAAAGCTTGCCTTTAAAGACTGTGATGGGAAATATCTGAGCCCAGTGGGTCCCACAGGAACGCTGCGTTCTGGCCGATGTTCCAAGCCTGGAAAAGATGAGCTTTTTGACCTGGAGGAGAGTCATCCACAAGTAGTTTTTCAAGCTGCCAATAAAAGATTTGTTTCGGTCAAACAAGGTAATCAACTTGTAGTCAAGAGAATAGTTTATTTTTATGTACACACAACTTATTCTTCTATAATTACCAAACAACATCAATAAATTTACACAAATAGTGTCATACTGAATGCATATTGTAGATCAGCACAGCATTAATTTGGGGAGAACAATGATTTGATTACTGTGATGTGGCTTAACTGAAACAGGCGAAAATAACAGACACACTTTATAACAAACATTTGCACAAAAGGTTGCTGGAGGTACCCTCAACATTCAAAATTAATTGCCAAGTGAATAATGAAAACTATGATTAATGATCTCAGTTATCGTGACAAACCATGATCCTGCAGTCAGGTTTCAGCTGTTGTAAATCCTTGAGGACTTGACATGAGATGAGGACATTTTCAAATCCTTTGCTGCTTAAAAGAAGCTTACAAGCTATATTTTGATTCAGAATCAACACACATAGTTATGTGTTTCTAATGTAATGGCAGTTTGTATGATTTCGGTTGTTGATGTTTTTAGATTTTTTTAATTATCTAAGTTTCACACGCTAGTTCAAAACATTTTAGATCTACAAAAACCACGTTTGTTCTATAATCTGTCTCCAGTCCCTTTTCCACAGCCATTTTCAGCTTTATTGATCAAATTAGTATATTTTATTAATGTCTACACAGTTGAGATCAAGCTGCAGGTTTTTGCATTAAAGTAGAATACAGCAATTAGAAATTCTGAAGAATTACATCTACCATATAAGGAAGAGAATGTGGCCATTTTTTGTCCACATGTCACAATCGTGCTAGTTAACACCCATACTGTGGAAGTTACTCTGGTAATGGGCTTTGTCATTTCCACTGTGTGTCCATTGAAGATTAAGCAGGGTGCAAATGACTCCAGTGCAGATTTATGCCACCGGGGTGTCAATTACTATCAATGGGCTTTAAGCCTCACAGCTCATTACAATCAACCATCAAATAAACTTCTCAATTCTTTGGAAATGTTGGTGTGGTAAAAATGTGTCCGGAGCTAAACGTAAGATCTAACCAGACAGATCAGTGACAAGGTCACTCTCTGGATGTGATCGGCTCAGTTAAGAAGAATGATTTTGTTTTGTGGAAAAAGTGAGAAATGCAGCTAACCTACCTGTAAGATTAAGCTAAAACAGCTATTCCTTAAAAATGTGTTTTAAAGCGTCTTCAGTCTTGTATTTTTATGAGGCTCAGTGAAGCGTGCACCAAAGAGAATTCTCAGACTAACATTCAACAGCAGGTATATTAGGGTTGTGCATTAATGTAGCAGTGATATAAATACTAAGAGGGCAACATTTTTGTAATCTGGTGTATCCATCTTTTTCTAAAGACAAAAAAATTCAACTCAAGAGTTTAGCCTTGTGGCATCTCCATGTTTTTAAGGAACAGGGCACTGAAAGCTGCTTAGTGGGGCCTGCAGAGCAGATTTGCATTTCACCACTCAGGGAATTACAGCATACGAATGAACAGGAAGGGTGGAGGGGTGACTGAGGAGGATTAGAGCTGTAACAAGATTAAAAGAAAGGTTGAAGGATATTTCTGTGGCACCTAATTTGAACTACAGCAGACAACATTAAATGATAAACTATGTGTGAATTATAAACTCCTCACCAGAAAAAGGTTGTTACATAGGGATTAAGTAACCAACACCAGATTTGCTTCAAGTGAGGTATCAGTGTTGTAGAAAAGCAAATAACTGGAAAGATGGACATAGTTTTACATACAATTGTTTGATTGTTTAGCATGCAAAACATCACAATTTACTCTAAGGCATTTCTCTGTCTGGGAAAAGGTCAGAAACAAGGCTTGCAAATGATTTTTTTTTCATCTAACTCTTCTCAAAATCTAGTTTTCCGTGAAAGGTCAAACAAACATTGCTTACAAGTTTCAATTACGGGGAATCAAGGGTAAAATAATCCAAAAATTAGATGAATGCTGCAGTGGAATAAAAAAAGAAAAGTTCCCTGCTAAACAACTTTCACACAGGCCATAATGTTTCCATAACTATTATTTTTATAACAGCAGAATCAGTTTAGCATAATGTTTCCCCCTTTGAATGAGTATTGTACATTCAGGAATGCCATAAGTGATTCACCCTTCTTCTGCTGGGTTGACACAGCTGTTCAGAACCTGTCATGTTTTTACCCACCGGCACTGTACCTTGTGTATAGGTCTCCAACTCGGACACTAGATGTCACTACAGTCCAGCTCAAACGGTGGACATTTCATTCATTTAATTTGTCAAACCAAACTAATATAAAAGCCATTTGAGCCAAAAGTGCGTTGATTGAATATAAAGGTGCCTTTCTCAAACCTTCATGTTGTCAGTTAAGACACAACACCAAAGATTAACAATAGTCTGTGGAAATAGTATTAGGAGCTGACTGTCTAATGGAAAGTATGTCAGTACTTTAATTCTTTGTCTAAATAAGTATCTAAATAACTGTAGCAAGGTGTGATACATTAGGATGGGATACATTATGACTTAATCAGACAAAACAAACATTTCATTCTAACCTTCACTGCCTCCTCTAAGAGAAAAAACCTTGAATAAGTCACTACAGCACAAATTTGGATATAATTCAGCTGGTTTACCAGTATGTGATTATTTCTTTGGCAACACTTAACAAAAAACACATTCAAGACAAAAAAGCATTATGATATATAAATACTACAAAATAAGCACCATGATCATGCATGCCTTTTTCTTCCTTAACAACTAGGGGTGAGTATTTCAGCCAATCAGGATGTAGAGACAGACATGGAGACCTTTCAAATGGAGATCGATAAGGAGAGCAAAAAGTCTATGTTCAGAACCAATGGTGGGTCCTACTGGACTTTAGTGAGTCATGGAGAAATCCAGTCCACAGCCACAGAAGTGTAAGTATCTTACAGCTGTGGAAGTGAAGCTTGCTTGTGTTTTTTTCAGCACACTATTGTTATAGTTTAGTTAGTTTTTCTTTTATTCTGAGTCTCCATTCATACCCATCTATGTTTCTTTATTCCAGAGAGGTCAACACTATGTTTGACATTGAGTGGCGAGGACACAGGGTAGCACTCAAAGCGAGTAATGGAAAGTACGTGTGCACAAAGAAAAATGGGCAGCTCTCATCGGTCAGTGATACAGTGGGTAAGTGCTTTCAAACAGCTCGCTTGAGATTCAGCATTGTTTTTGTTGGAAACCCCTGACACTTGTCTTACTCGGTCAGTCCTTAAACACAAGATGAGCTGTTTGTTTCCTTCGCTGCAGGGGATGATGAATTATTTCTGATGAAACTCATCAACCGCCCAATGCTGATCCTGCGTGGGGAAAATGGCTTTGTGTGTCATCACAAGAACTCCAACGCGCTGGATGCTAATCGATCTGTCTACGATATCTTCTCGTTGATCTTCAATAATGGCGCCTACAATATAAAAAGTCTGTATAAGGGGGGGTCGGGGTGGGGGGAAGGATGACAATAAATCTACCGTAATATTTAAACAAATGACACACCAGAAATGTAATCAAATTATTTTTGTGTCCAGGTGCAAATGGAAAGTTCTGGTACGTCTCAAGCAACGGCTTAGTGTGCTCAGACGGAGAAAAGTCAGAGGACTTTTTTCTTGAGTTCCCAGAACACGGACGCGTCGCCATTAAGGGCTCCAATGGAAAATACCTCCGTGGAGACCAGGGAGGCACTCTAATGGGTGACGGCGCATCTGTTGACGTATCCTCTGTTTGGGAGTACTGATACTTTCACGCCAGGTCCTCCAAGAAGGCCTAAGATCCAGGTGCAAGTCCCACTTTGATCAGATCAAATCAGGCGGACTGGCGATATAAACTGCCTGTTTTTACAATCCCATGTTTTGATGTTCATTTTGTTGTTTTTTAATTGGTAAGAACACTTTAGGAAGCTGTGTTGGTCTTTTTCTTGTGAAGATTAGATGTTTTGTCTTTCAAATGACAGCAAATGCCAACATAAAATGTCATACACTATGTGGAATTTTTGATTTTATAAATGGGCAGAAGTGAATGGACACATTGTCAGAGACACATTGTTAGTATGTAAACAATGGCAACCAAATACTCATCAATACTTATCAGTCACCGAACAGAGAAACAGGTTCATCAATGTAAATAGATTCTTTGCTTCTGGTATGTTCCAGTAGCTGAAAATAAAACCTATTGTATTCTGGGACATAAAAAGTAAAGACTTTTGAAGAAAAGGAGACATATATATCCATCCACATTTACAGACAAGCTAAAACTAAGATAATAAAGAAAGAAGAAAAAAAATCATCACAAATCAGTGTGGTGTCATTTTTTGTATTTCCAACCATCATTTTATTATGTTTATTCCAAGTAGCGTCCCAGGGAGCTGTCATTGGGAGAGAGGCAGGGTACACCCCAGAAAGTTTACCACGGGGACATATGAAACAGACAAGCATGCACACTCACTCTCACTGCTATATTCAAGTTGGAGTCACCAATTAACCTAATATGCATGTTGTCAGACAGTAGTCTTGCGTTTCCCTACAGAAAACAAGGATTTTCATTTCTAGACATGGATTTTGGTTTGAGTGGTAGGCTGCTTGACAGAAAATCTTACCTGGAACTAATTTAGTACCCTTGAAAAATGAATTACTTACATAGACATACTGGAGTGACACTGTGGTCGTGTAGCTAACCCTGACCATAACTTAACACGTCATTGTCTTGAAATTGGCTGTGGACGCGCTGCTCTGTTTATTTGAACGGATCATTAAAAGCTAGTGTGAAAGAGCAATATTAGGCTAATGAAGTGGACATTAAGAAATTACTCCATCTCAGCAATTCAAAGAATGTGAATCCACAAATGACTTAAATGAACCTCTCTGCATATAATGAGGTCACACAAGTTTGAGACAAGAATAATACCTGCAGGTGAATCCACACTGTCTTCTGTATCTATTAACAGCCATTTCTTGTGTGGTGAGGTGGGTAGATATGTAAATATAAAGGCTTTTGATCCCAGATATTAACGGTTATCTTCTGTCCATTTGCTCACAATTAAGTGTGAGTATTCTACTGATTGCAACAGAAGAGTGAGTGCAGTGTACACTTGTAATCCCACATGGCTGGTGGTTACAAACAGATCACTCATCTTTCATGAAACTGCTCCATTAGACATCTTTAGGAAAACATGTGGATGCGACTGAATTGTCCCAGACTACCTAAGATAAATAATGTATCTAAGATAGATATATCCAACAGATACGAAGCTTCTTAACTATGGATATCAATCCAATAGGCATCTTTCATAACAAAGTCCTGCAATCTAACTTTCTCTTTGAAAATTTGATCTTTGGCCTCCTTCTGCCCCTTCACCAGCACAGGTCGTTTGATGGGAAATATTTGCTTTAAAACTGTCAGTGACATAATGAGTTGATTATTTATTCTTAAGAACCCATCTCCTAATTATGGGTAGAAGAAGCCCAGTCTGTATTCGTGCATTTATTCATTCACAGGACAAACTGAAGCTGAATACTTTAAACTCAGTTTTTGTGGTATTTTCTAATTGGTAATATACTCTTCTTACTTAATGTCTGGTCTAGTGGTGTTGTCATGTTTGCAGTCTGTAAATAATAGATATGACTAGTTGCTGTCAAAAATTCAGGGATAAAAAAAAGCTTGTTTAATTGTGGGGCATTGAGAACGTCATGCCATATGTTAGAATATAACCAACATCTGCATACGTTTGTTGTCTTACCATGTTTTTAATTTGACTTATGAAACCAGTATCAGAAATAAAAACATTTTTTTTTTCTTTGTTAGTAGATTGATGGGTCAAATGTTGAAAGCATGTGTTAGATTTTAGAGTTATTTGGCTCCTAAGATGTCTTAAGATTAGGTGGGGTAGAAAAAATATCCTACCTTAAGATAGTTATTTACCATCAGCATAAATCGCAGATAAGGAGCTCAAGCCTAGTGCTAAAAAAAATCAATGCCAATGATACATAGATGTTAGCTGGAGATACACTGGGATAACATGGTGACTGTCAGGTGTTTTTCTCTGTTATAGTAGTAGTTGTGAAACCATATCCTGCTGCTCTCATGATAACCCCTAGAAACATAAAAAGCATACAAAGTAGAATACTGCAACTGATCTGACATTGTTTTTATTTTTAGGTTTTAGATGTGACTCAGCTGTCCCTTACAGAACATAATCATGTGTACCCATGTACAGGCATGGCAGGTTATTTTGTCACCACTGTCTGTTCATAAATGTTTTTTATCAACATTTTTTTCCCTGAGAAAATAAACTATATCAAGCAAAAGGAAAAAAAAAGTACAGATATATGGCTCCCCAATTTCCAACAACTCAAAGAATTTTACACTGACACTGCGCTTCCACTACTTTAATTCTCTGACAATCACAGAAACATCTTTCAGAAATGCTGTCTTTACATTTCCTGCTTGCCAACTCTGTTCATTACTTTTTACATAGTAAACTGAAACAGTTTTTGGTGAAATCTTTGCCGTCATACTGACTTGGCCTATGGCAAACCTCATTAATTGTGTTCTGTCGATCAGCTATGAGAATGAAAGTGTTAAAGATCATAACATTTGAAAGAAAAGCCCTCAAGAACTCTCAAGAACAAGGCTTTGTAGCTTTGTAGCTTTGCAGCTCTGGCATGACTTCCATTATTTTGTGACTCTGTCAAGGTTTGCCTGCAGACAGAGTTGTTCTAAACAAACATATAACAGCGAGAAAGATTTATACAGATCTTTGTGTGGGCTGTTATTTCCCCTCAAACCACACATTAAGAAAAACTTATCTGTGTGCGTGTGTGTTTTAATAAAATCATTATAGAATAAGAATGAAAACTAATCCAAATTTAAGAGTGCTGAACTACCTTCTACTCAATTGAAAACATTGTATGAAAATAGTAATTATTGTTAATCATTTAATTGATCAATTATACATTATTTAATGTGAAAGACAAATCCATAAATGTAACATGTCTCAGAACACTGCTCCAACTCTCAACAAACCATTTCAGTATGACAATTCTGTATGAAAATGTAAGGATTTCATTGGTATACACAACGGTGCTATTTAACACACACTTTAAATGACCAGTTTTTACTTGAGATTATCATCCATCCATGCATTTTCGTAACCGCTTATTCCCTGATGGGGTCGCGGGGGGACTGGAGCCTAACCCAGTAGTCCACCAGTCTATCGCAGGGCCCACTTGAAATTAGATTAATACTACATGAATTCTGTAAATTCTAAAAGCCTTCCGGCCCGTAACGCAACTTCATTCATTTTAAAACACCAAAACTGAAAAAAAACAGAGAGGAACTGTCTGAGGTATTAAGCCTGGAAAATCAGCGCTGTGAAGTACTGGATAGACATAGAAGACCAGAAGAGCACAAGAGTGACAACAAGCTGGGAATTGAGACTAGTAAACTCAGAATACCCAAACAGCATCTTTCAGATAGTTCAGCTGCAGACAGACAATCTGAGGCAGAGGCAGGGAAGTAGAGAATCAAGAAAATATTGATTTCTGGTGTAAAGAGAAAAGGATGGACAGCAGGAGGGAAAAGGTGCAACTGTTATAAGAACCAAGCTTTACTCCACTTTTGTTCTATACTTTTTGACCTTTTGTCTCTGTCTCTATGAATTATACCTCCCCCATATCTTTTTTACTGCCTTCTGCAGTTTTGATATGACATGGATGACTCTATTTCAGACAAAGCACTTTAATGAATCTGTGAAGAAAGAAAATTGTGTTTGGAGCCCTACCTCATACCTTAACATCCCATCCAACTAGGTCTCACAACAGAGCATATAACATGATGGTTCATATATGTTTTACAAAGAATACTAAAATTCTGCTGTGACAACTTGCTTATCCAATCCAGTCCAGCATTATTTATAAAGAACTGTATATACCAACAGTACAGAATACATAAAAACATTATGACCAATGCTAAATCCTAGAAATGACAGATGCCCTTTCACAAACACATCTATGTCGAATGCTGAAATGCCAACTACTTTCAAGCACATATACTCAGTAATAGAGCAAAACTAAAATGTTATAAGCACTAACTTAAATCAGCATTTCACATAGTACCAAAGGCCAAGGCTAAAAAAGAAGAGATTTAAAAACAGACTTGGATGTTGCCTGTCTGGTGCGCAAGAACGCTCACACCCTACTAGGAACAATTTAGAGTAACCAATTCTCCTTGTTTACGGCCTCAGCGCAGTAATTCCGGCTGTGCCTGCTGTCTATGAAAACCTCTGGATAGCTGTAACCCTCCATCACCTCCGTCTATTTTCCCGGGACGTAAATAGTGTTTGGCTCATACCTGATCCTATTACACTCAACAAGTACTTCCTTTATCTTGTTTTCATTCAAGATGAGCTGATGATTCCATTTGCTCCACAATCAGTTCCCAAGGGTCACTCTGAGGTGACAGGAATGAGTTGTTCCGGAAGTCTGGCATGTAGATAGTGTACAGGAACGGTTCCTCCTTTCTGTAGACTATCTCTTGTAACATAAACCCTTCATTCTACCAACTTTGTTCCATCAAAATACATGCAATTGTGGGGCATCCAAGTGTGTATTCTGGAGCTTTTTACCAAACACTTCAGGCTGAACAATGTATTAAGAAAAGCAGAGCAACCAAAGAAAATGATCCTCACTGTATTTTCTGTGGGCTCACAAAAGCTGGTAAATGATGGCATTCTCATCCGCAACCCAAAGATAACAATCAACCTGTAGTGGGTCTTCAAGCACATTCACTTGCTTATTGAGGTGAGCCAGAAACCGTTTCTCCTGACTTTCAGGAATGGATGTAATGGATAAGTGGTGTGCAGAGACTGAGCTCAGAACACAGAGGAGATCTCTGTGCTCTGGCAAGATTTTTTAAAGCAATCTTTTAAAATTAAAATTAGCAAACATCTGCTTTAAGAAAAAGGACACGAAGGGTTTTAAGATCATTTCAGAAAATCAGTCATATGACAGTCAGATGAGAAGCTGCAGATGATGTAAATGGGACTGAAATTGCTTTAAGAACTGTGCAGACTAACAATTTCAACACTGTGTTTTTTTATTAGACAGATGCTGAAAATAATTAGGAGCGTAATTCAGCTTTACATAACTAAAGAACGTACAAAGAGGATAACAATACTGCTGATTTCCAGCCAAGATAGGGTTTGTGTTATTCTCCTCAAATAATCCACAAATTAGTTCTGCTTTACAAGGGCAGGGGGGATAAAAATCCAATGTGTTGTCAATGGTTGTTTCATTTGTCTGAAAGTGTGCCTGTACAGCTGTTTTATTGAACCCTGTCTGTCACATTATGAGCGTATGACAAACTGTGTGCAGCAGATTCCTGCTCAGATGGTATCTGCAATATGCTCCCGTTCCAACAGATGGGTTTGGCCATTAATCAGTTTTGCCATTTTCATCAGTGTCTGGCCAACTCTTCACTGTCACACAAAGCTCTTGGGCAGAAAACGAATGGAAATCATCTTATTAACTAAAATATTAACTTTCCTTAGATAATTCAAACCAAGTATCAAAAATGTTATTTCATTCAAGAAATCATACAGCATTGTTTTATTTTATTATGCATTGTTTGATCTGTTTTATTTCACTTTGATACAAGCCATATATATTACACATGCTAAACTGTATGATATTCTTTGGATAAATACTGTAATACTGACTAGAATATTTCAATGTAAAACGTGTGCTAAAAAAATAATAGCAGACAGCCCTCAAAGAGAGACTCTGCATGTTACAAAGAGATTATCTTAATTAGATTAGATAAATTAACAGCGGTAGTTTCACAAAAACAGATGCTGACACTGTGTGTTTCTCACTTGGGCATTTATCTATTTGCTCTACGCTCAAAGAAATGGAACAAGCTCAATTTCAGGGCAGGGCATTCTCATCTGACTACCCGAAATGTTACAGTAGTTGGATTTGTTGTTGTAGACTTGAAAGGAAATTCAGCTGAAAATAAACTGCACATATTTTAAGGCTATTAAGAGCTTCATTTCTCGGCCAACACCTGAAAGGTGCTCTGCTGGTCCTCCTCCATCCACAGTTCTCTATTATCACAATATCCATTCCAGGAGAGCTGGAGGAGGAATGTGATCAGCACAAACAACCCTTTAGCTTGCACTCATTAGAATTAACACGCAACCATCCATTTTCTAAACCCCTCCTAATAATCCAATTCAGGGCAATGAAGAGGAGAGGCTGGAGCATATCGCAGCTATTAGAGTCAACATTCATTTGTCAATTTTTTCCCCCACTGTATCCAATTCTGAGGGTTTTAGATAACAGTTATTTGAATATATAGCTAACCCTAAAGATAATTTCAAGTTCAAACAGATAGGTGCCTACTGCTATTCAAACCAAGAAATGTGGAACCACTGTAGCATTGTGATGTCCACTTCTTTGTTTAATGTCTTGTGACTATGAGCACAACAACTAATATAAAACATTTTACACAAGAGATCTTGTACTTGAACTGCCATTCTATTTAGCCATAGCAACACAAATGAAAGTGTTGAACTGCCTCCTGTGTCTTCAACCATTGGATAAGTGTTCTGCTTGCAGGTGCACATAAGACACATGGCGTGAGAACACTTGACCCTCTTTGAAACTGTTGAAAATAAAGATGTCATGCTCAGGTATGATTGATGAAATGTGCATTTTGATGGATTACAAATAACAAATGTTCTGCGGCAACCTAGTCATAGAAAGAGTATTCAAAAGTTGTATGATTATTTGGTTTCTCTGATTTTCCTTTTTCTCCCTTTTTCTTATTGTCGTTTCTCTACCTATGGACAACAGAGAATGATTTTTTTATGAAACAAATGGTATTACACCAGTTTCATAATGCAGGAATCCGCAGCCATAGATTCAGCCATAAATTCTGTATCTTCAAGTGTGCTTGAATAAGACAATCTGTCCACAGACTGATGCTGAACTGTAAAGTCTTTTAACAGCGAATGTGAACGTTGGCACACAAGCAAATCCAAAAAGAAATGGAGATGAATTAGAGGGTCATGCCAAAGGAAAATTCCTAAGTGTCCTCCAGTCTTTGGACAAGCATAACCACGGAAAGATATTTTGAGCTCATTACTGGGAGCAAAATAATGCAAAACCTCCACATAACAGGCAGTACTAGATTTATAGGAGTTTAGGTTTACTCAACCACAGCTATTGTCTCGTAAATGACTGAGATATTTATTCTACCTTTGCTGTAATGCAGCCTTTGAAAATAGTCTGTCATGAGGAGGAACAATTGTCCATGATATGAGACTGTGAAGCACTAACATTTTTAATATAATGTGGACAACCTCTAGAGGTCAATCAGCCAACTCAGCTAATTCAGTTAAATTAGGGAGCGATGAGTCTGTCCTATTTGCAACATTCCCATTGGTGCAACTCTCTTTTGCAGATGTAAAATTTAATCATTAAAAGAATAATAGCTTTACTAATTCCTACCACGCACCAAGATCCAATATTAGTCAGCCATTTTCAAGTCCATGTTTCAAACCAGCTTTGAAATAAGCTTTCCACTTGAGGTGAATGGACTTAGAATATTATATGGACTTAAAATATCATATAGAAGGCCTTCCAGACCACAGTCCAACTGCAAATTGAGCCAGGATTTTTAAAAATTACCTCACCTTCAGTGCAAGTCAAGATATCTTTTTACACTAGACGACCAATATAAGGCGCATGGGGTGGCCTGAAGAGATTAATCCTCCTGCTACGCTTGATGCTACAAAAATTCTATTTCAGTTTTTATCATTTGACCACTTTCCAAATTTGCACCCTTCTGAAGTGAACATTTCCAAAGTAGAATACTCACTCAGTATTTTAGTTTACATTCTTTCTACATTGCAATAGGCAATAACGAAAGCATTAATGAACCCAAATTCAACTACAGTCTTTTTATCAGTAATTTATCAGGACCAAATACCTCTCATCAAACTGTTTCTCTAGCAAAAAGTGAAGCACCATCCGCGAGTCAGCCGGATGTCTTTCATTTTGCTTTAAAAAATACTCACCGAAAAAAAAAAAAAAAAAAAGAAGCCCCATCTCAAGTGAATCCATGTAAGGGTTTTATTTTCTCAGGCAGTACTGGAAGTGTAGCATTTTCCTCCACTAACTTGACCGCAGAGATTACCGGAGCTGAGCAACAGAAACCCAACAGACGCGCCGCTGCCTCCTGACGGTGTTGAGGTGTCAGTCACACAAACGCACATCTGTTCATTTACAGGTTCATGAACAGTGCTCGTATACTGGAGATCATTAATGGACATTTTCTTAAAAAAATATTTTGTTTGTTTTTTGCTTTAATCTTTTGTTCCTTCCAGAACTGCATTTTGAGATGGAAAACCAACATTTTGCAGTAAGGGGTCCTGCTGGAGAGCTTTTACGCATCGCAAGTCAGGGAGCGTCCCTACAGATAATGCTGTTGGGGAAATTTTAATCGGTAACCAAGCTGTTCACCGGAGGCTAAAAATGAAGTACGGAGCTGTGGTTCTTGCAGCTGGACTCTCCGGTTTGCTCAGCTTCAGCCTCCTTGCTGTGGCAATTGGGACCGATTACTGGTACATCATCGATGTTAATAAACCCAACTACACAGGTCCAGATGACCTCAGCTCCCGTTCTGGACTGTGGAACATCATTGAAGGTTTGTCAGTGCATCTTAATTCTGGATAAACATACGCTGTTTGATAGTACAAACCAAATACTGAAGAAAAAAGACAGAAAAGAAAACTACCAAAAAAGCGCCCTTATATATCTTAGTACTTTATACTTTAGACACTCACTGCAATTGTAAAAGGGAGAATCAAAGGCTTATTATTTTCCAATTAACGCTTTTGCAATTCAGAAATGAATTACTTCAAGATGCTGCTGGGATATTTGTTCGACAATCTTTTCTCTGGTGGTGCCGTTTTATTGTGTTAATTATCAACAGTCCACAGCAGTGCCTGATTAGATCCTCCTGAGCAGGTGCTGAATTTGTTTGCAGTATATTTTAGATTGAGACAAAAGGGGGTAGATGCCAGCACTTTTATATTGGGGAAGCAATTGTTACATATGTACGAAATGATCTTCTTTTAATTTAAGGCAAAAAAGTAATGCATTTAATAAGAAGTACCAAATATCTTGCAATCTTATTATAATGGGATATTTCACATTATTAATCACTATCAGTCACTACAAATACAAACCAACAAAGCTGCATAGCAGAGAAGATATAGACGTTTTCATACAGCTGCAATGTATCCTGCTGAACATGAAGCTTTTCATCCCACCAGCTGTGAAACATGCGGTGCAACAAAATTCAGATGCAGGAGAAGTAGACCTGACAGGGTGTGAACAAACGTAGATGTTGATTGCATTAGGTGGCATTGAAAATAATTGGATTTTAGATATAAGGATTTATTGACTTATTGTTATTTGCATGGTATCCAAGAAAGATTTTACAAAGTCCTCCACCTTCATCATGTGTAGCCTTTTCCTTTTGACATTTTCAGGAGCAAATAGGAGGGCAGTCATCTCCTCTTTCACGGCCAATATTTCCAGCCTGTCAGAGGCAGAGAGGCACATGCTTGGTAAGTGATTTTAGTTTTTCAAATGGAAGTACATGTGCAATTTGAAATGCTGTCAGGCAGTCACATCCCAGTGACTAATGACGAGCCACCCGGAACATTTGTAAAGGCTGTTGTACATTTGATATATATTTAGTTTAATGTTAGTCCTATTTGGTTGGGTTTCAAGAACAGCCTGCATCTTATAACATGTAGAATGGAACATTCGTCGAGAAAGAAGCTATCTCAAGCAGGTCTGCAAGTTAATTATACTCTATAAAAGAAATCCAATGGCTCCCCATATGGTCAAAATCAATTTGAAGATCTCTGTTGCTTTTTTCTAAAGATTACACACAAAACCTTCTTGAAGTTCAGATAACTAACTAGTTCAGAAATAGAATGTTCAAATAAGCTCATGCATGTTTGCAGAATTGCACAAAGTGGTGGTCATCATGCTGCCTCTCAGCCTGGTTCTGCTGGTGTTTGGCTGGATCTTCGGACTTGTCAGTTCGTTGGCCTGCAGTCCCAGGCTGCTAGCTGCCACAGCTCTCTACTTTCTACTCTGCAGTAAGTCCATATTCAGCTGTTACTGTTTTGCTTAGCCAGTAATCGTGCTGTGTGCTTTGCATGAGGCTGCTTGTTAATTTCAGCGTGGACAACATAAGCCGTGCAGGTGCTTTAATGGGAGTGAGCAAACTTTGAACATTTAATTTCACCTTCCACCACAAACAATTGCCTCCCATCTGACTAATATCTGATGCCAAGCTTTATAAAACGAGGATTACACATGAGCAAGCTGATGGCCAATCGAAAGACTTTGATTGTAGTTGTGGTGGCGCGGCAATGATTTATGGGGTTCAGGCCTATCCTTACTATCAGTTGACGTGAGGCAGGGTACGTCCTGGACAATTTATTATACTATCATGCGGCAACTAGACAACAAAAAACACTTAGAATAACTCCTAAGGACAAGTAACAATTACCCTTTAGGTCAACATGTTTTTCTTGGACTAGAGGAAAGCAGAACAATGAACATTTAAACTCCATATCTGAATTGAATCTGTTTAAGAAGCACCGTGCTATCACCGGATCACCGCTGGAAATATTCATTCAGACCAAGTTTCAAAGGACAGGGGTTAGCACAAAGCTGCGCTGTGTTTCTCTACTCGTAAAGAAACAGAATAATAAAATACGTCTGGCTTCCTCTGAGTACTTTAACAACTTTAGAAAACCTTGGGTACCACTCACTCTTGAATAGTCCTTTGTCCAGCAAGCTCATGACGACATCCATTTAATGCTTTTCAATCTGAGTTTTGTCTCTGATTTTTGTATATTTTGACATTCAAAATAGAATAGAAGGTTTTTGATCATGGAATGCCAGGAGGGCTTATGTGAAAGCAATGATATTTTATAAATTTCTGAATTAAACAAAATTGAATAGTGCCACTGTTCTGTCCACAAACTACTGAATCATAGAGTGTACTTTTTTATTTTATTTGAAATTGTTCAGTAAATAATGCTGCGGTGTGAAATCCCATGTTCACACGAGGTTGCATTTGCCAAAGAGTAAATCAAAAGGGAACCTGATTATCTTCATCAAATTTTGAACTTGACAAACTGAATACTTGAAGAGGACATTATCTGCCTATAGCAATTTTTTTTCTTGACGCTTTCCAGACCATGAGGTCAGGTAATTCTTTTAAACACAATACCAGCAAACTTTCGCAGCATGGATAATCACATAATTGACATTACTGAGTGCAGAATCTTGGCTGATTGCAGATTGCAGTGAAGTGGCACAAAATTGCACAAAACCCTTGTTGATTGAAGGACTCACTCTGTAATGTGATATTTCTTATGATGTTGAGAATAATTTATTTGAAATCTTTTAACAAAATATATATTAAAAGCTATACAGATAATTTATACCTAAACCTAATACAAAAATACAATTGTGATAATCATATCTTTGAAATAATTCAAATACTTTATTGCTAAAACATGAATGCGTCGCAGAACAGAGGCTGTGTGCTCTGAGCAGAGATTTTCTCACAAACGGCAAGGATGCTTGATCTGCTGGTTCCTTAAATTACAGTGTAACCTCATGCTTTCATCAGCACTACTGTCGATTTTTTTCACCTCTTGTGAGAGGGCTTTAGCTCTTGAACTGTCACAATTAATAGGATATTCACACAAATATATTGGTTGGATTGGGTCCTAAATTATACTTAATGAGTTTAAAGTACCATTTTTATTAAGACTGATGCAAAATGAATTGATTTCTTGCAGATATATGGGATCTTCACATATATTATCATCTCTGCTAACATGCACAACCTCCTATTTCAGAGAGTGGATGGCTAAATTTCATATTTTGCAACAAATGTTCTGCCCACATTCAACTCTGAAAAGATTTGTTTTCCCTGAGATCTGCCACCGTCGAAACCACAATGAGTAGGAAAGGGGTAATGGATTTAAGGTCTTTGTTCTGCTTTTATCCATATCCTTTAATGCATTAGTACTTTTCTTTTTTCTCTGTTTTGTGTCACATGTAGAATCAGAGATTTGGGGTTCATGTTGTAGTTGGTCATCCCTCTCTGAGGGTTGTGATGACTGATCCATGTATCTATGAATATGTTTACATCTTAATTGCAGCAGGCAACAGTTGCCAACCATAATGACAGTCTTGATTAAAATTATGAGTCGCAATTTTTAGACGGTCAGCAATGAACAAAAGTTAATTGCAGTTGAAGATAATGCAAAGTGGTTCTGCTTTCCAGTGTGCCACACCAAAGGTCAATTTGAATTGCTGGTATAATGACTCAATATTTTAGTCGTTTTGATGCTGACATTTAATGATGTTGTTCTTTCTGGCCCACCTCAGAGGTAATTGTTAAGCGAGATGTTTTATCTGTCTGTTGGGCAACATGAGAAATAGAAAAATAGTTGTAATTGTAGTAGAAGCTTTGCGCTCCACACTCTTCCTGTGGAGTTAATGATGAGATTCAAATTTCGAGGCACCTTACTGTGATAATTTGCATCTAAATGAGAAAAAGTTGAGATACAGATTGCTTTAGTGTCCGTATGCGGCTGTGGTCATTGTGACTTCCCATCAAAAGGAGTCTTGTTTTGTACCTTTGCCACTCATTGCGAAAGCATGCATGTAAAAAGCACTTTGTCTGGCTTAATGGACAGTACAGTGGTTACAGCTCACCATTTACGTCCTCAAATCAAGTTTGTTGTCCTAATCAATTTTTGTGAGTGTTTTTTCTTCTTAAAGAAATGGATAGAAAAGGGTTCATCTTAAACACATACCACTTAGACAAAGCTTGCATAATTGGTATTTTTTTTAATTGATGTGACCAGAAGGCATGATATATTTTACACAAAGCAAAAAGGTTTTCATAGTGCATTTGTGTCATGTTGAACCCAAAAGAAAGGGGAATGGTTCTGGGGGGGAAGCCTGTCAAATTGTGAGGGGATTTTGGATGACAAAACTTCTGTGAAGATATTGGTTTTTCTACCCCTCTGAAAATAGTCTGTATTATGGCATTATTTTATATGTAATAGCTAAAGTTAATCGATACACTAGGTAATTACTCAACAGGACACAAAGATTATTAATCTATTCAGAGTCTGCACCTTGTAAGGCTGTTGCAAAAAATATACAGTAGGATGTGCAGTCTGCACAGTCAGGAACCATGTGCTCCTGCTGGTCCTGGTGCTGGTCTTTTATTCTCTGGCTCATATTTGCAACCTGGTGTTCCTAGCATTGATGAATGACTTATAAAGACATAAAAGCTATAAAATGGTTAGATGGCAATCATAGGCTGACTCACATCAGTCTTCAAACTGTGTTGTGGCTTTTTGCTGTAGACAAAATCATTTCACGTAGCACACTAAGGCGGGAAGACAGAGTGAAGCCACGCAGGGAACCATTTTTATCATATATGTTTTCTTAACACCGCAGACACATCTTCAAGATGATTTTTCCAGTTGCATCTGTGCCATACAGTTTTTAAAAAAGGTTCTAAACAGTTTATTATTTTTCTTTGTGTATATGAAGAAACGGACCAAAGAAGACAACACTGGACAGAGTGATTGTGGACATTTGTTTATATCTTGTTCTCCGGGCTTCTCAACCCAAAAATGTTTGGATAGATTCCATTTAAATAAAAGCAGGTATACAGAAGTAATGTATAAGTAGCTAGACTGTAGTGATTGCCGTGTGTGACTATGTATTACAGAGGCCAACAGTATAAATCACGTGTTACAATTCTGTGTGATGGATGTAAAATGGCATCATCAGTGCAATAGAATAAGCTGAAATTAAAACATTTGAACGGATCTGTCTGTGTGTTTGTTCATCCACAGGTGTTTTAACCCTGACTGGGATCAGCATCTATATCAAATACTCCAATCAGGCCATGGAGGAGTTCCAGACAATGGTGTCTCCTGAGAGCCTCATCTACGTGCATGTGTCGTTTGGGTGGTCTGTAGCCACGGCATGGCTCTCCTACAGCCTGGAGGTGGCGACTGGAATGCTGCTTATGCTGGCGGCCAGAATAACTCAAATGAAAGGACGTTACGACTCCGGCGTAGCTATCGCCATGTTATAATTAAACTAAAAGCTCCAATATAGATAAGTTGGTTTCTTCTCAATTATTTTGTAATCTAAGTCAAATAGCTAAAAAAAAAGATGGATTAGATTGACCGTTGAGACCAGCGAATGTACAGTACAGCGCACATACTTTACAAAAGTGCAACATGAGATACAGAGGAGCTGATTAAATTATGTTTCTGAATACCGGTTTCTTTGTTATCACTGGTTCATTGTAATGCCTGCTTTTCAGCTTCACAGTGGCGTTGACTCTTCATTGTGCCTTTTCTCCTTGCTCTGCAACATGAACACGTGCAAAGCTAACTTGTATGAATCTTGTTTGTTTTTTATGTGTGTAAGCCCTTAGCTTCAAGTTTGTCCCGTGTTTGAATACAACCTGGTTGAATTGTATTTATGAATTGTGTCCAACTGGAATTGCTGCTACATTGTTGGTTGAGGTTTAAGGGTAAATTTGCAATACACAACTGTGAAGAAGCTTTCAGTCTATACAGAAAATGAGAAGGCGTTGAGTAGCTGACTTTTAGCACGTCTTGTGAGTTTATAGCTCTTGCTTTCAAATTCTTGCGCCCATGTGATCTGTAGATATTAATTATGGAAAAAGGGCTTAAAATACGATAAAAGCAGGCTTTCTCATCAATACGTGCATGTGTTGCTATCTGCTTCACTGTTGTTAATGACTATTGTGATCACCTGTGTGAGAGCAACAAAACAGTACAAGTAAACGGAGCATTTCACAGGTATGATTTGTTTAGTATTGATGTTCTGTCCTTGCTCAAGTTTTCATAATTAATATTGTAAAGTTTAAGATATGTGGCACACACGCAATAAAACGATATAAATAAAACAGCTGAATAAGGGGAAAGAATGCGACTCTGTATTTCATTTCGAACACAAAAAATGCACCATGACTTTTGTGACACCGACTCTAAAGCATAATACTCACATCCTCTTGCATGGTTCATAGGCCTGTTTTGCAATGTGCTCAAAATACAGTGTTAGAAATGTTCTTTCAGAACAATATAAAAGTTAATTTATTTTATTTCCTTTTATCTAGAATGGAGGTTTGGCCAAACAGTAACTCTGGACCTTTGTCTGAAGAATTTGGACTGTGCAGCACAATCTAAAATTTTGGTCACTCAGCATGTGCTTCAGCCTGCAATCATAAGACAAACAAAGACAAAAAGATTTTGTTGAGAGGACAGAAAACTCTGTAGCGTGTGTTCTTTGCTTAAGTGAGATTTCCACCATGATTTAACATGTTTCAGCCAGTTAATCAGAGCCCAAACCTTGAAACATTGTATCCACTCAGCAGTTTGTGATGAGCTACAGTTCCAGGCATCCAGTTTCAGATCATACAGGCAGGACAAAGCAATAAAAGAAGGAGCAGGCTGCAGCCGTTCAATCTCGCACCCCCCTTTTATAAATTAGACCTGCTGAAATCCCATTAAACTTTTATGGAAGATAATAATTCAATCGGCTGTGGCAGAAGTTGGTGCTGAACCATTGGTCTTTGGTTTGAGTCCTTGCTCTTGAGTGCAAGAATTTTGACTCAAAGAACCTCTTGGATACATTTAAGAATTTCTTATGTCTCTCCCATGTATGCTTTACTGAATCCACATTTTCTAAATAGTGACTTTCTGTCTGTAATAGCTTTGAAATATTTTCGCAAATTTACTGTATGTTAGTTCATATTAGTGATAACAAGGATACATTCAAAAAACAATTATGTAAATGATAAAAAAGAAGCCAGGTTAACTAAAATGGTATTGTCTTATTATAATGTCTTATTTCTTTTTACATAACTGAAATACCATTAAATCCTGTATGTAAGGTTAGTGCAGCACAGCTGCAGTTTCTGATGAATATTTTAGTACAGAAAGCTCATAGCATTTATTGAACGCTTTAAGTTCTGGTTTCTATAATCGCACAATCTGACTAAAGAAGAGACATAAGAACTGTTGGGTTTCTGTAGTTAACTTCAGAGTAGGGTCTGACCTGCTCTGTTTGGAAAGCGCTGTGAGACAACTGTTGTTGTGATGTGGCGCTATATAAATAAAATTGAATTGAAAATTGAATTGAAGAACAAGGGTTTGAACCATTAAACAATGCTGTAACAAAAAAAAATGTGTTTAATGATTTTCAGTGACATATGATCTCTGGAGTCATAGCCACTGGTTATTGCTTTCTAACTGAAGGCTGTCATCACAATGGATAAGAGACTATCATTTCAGAAAAGTGAATGCATCACTGCCTGAAGGAGAACTATTTTATTAGCTGAATGTAATAGGGATTAACACACGCCTGAAATAGATTTGGCCTCTATAAAGAGTAATGTTATCGTATTGCCCTTGAGTGAATTTACAATAAAACCTCCACCTCCAGAGGAGGTTTCAAAATGATTTGGGTCATTTTTATATCACTTTGGAGGCAGGTGTGACTTCATGTGTTTTGTCATCGCGTTGACGTACAATCAACACTTTAAAAAGAGACACTCATGCTATGCTTGTCCTACATTTGCAGTGTTAGATGGCAATCAGGCTCTTAGACAAGAAACGGAGGGTTTTTACCAAAGAAATACTGACAGAAAGCAGCTGAAACTTTGGCACATCATTAAAGTATGCTGAGAACAGTTCTCAGAAACTGGAGTGTAAATGGGATGGAGGCAGACAGCTTAAAATGAAAAGAATGAAAGAAAAGATATTGGCAAACTACTTTTACACGAGGAATTATGTTTTTTACCACTCTTACACAGTGAATATATATATATATATATATATATATATATATATATATATATAGAAAAACATACAGCTGGTGAGAAGATATTTAACCAGGTGTGATTGCACGACTGAAGTGCAAGGCGTGTGCGCTTGTGTGTCACTTCTCCACAAGTACACACTAAGAGAATATAGGGGACCACAGTGCAATCACACGGAAATGGCAAATGTGCAGAGAACAGAAAAAGGGTACAGCACGGACCATGACAGAAACATTGTGTCTGTATTACCTGACAGGGACTTTATATTCAGCCTGGAGAGGTTTAAAAAATGTGTATGCCACACACCAGATTATCAGAGAAGTGGAAATCACCCCAGAGGCTATTGAACACCCTTAAATTGCACAAAAATTGGAATCCCTGTAATCGAGCATTGCATTGACTCAGATGAGCAGATTAAAAATGACATAAGCCTTTCAAATGTGTTTTTAGTTTTCACAATCTTTTCAGCAAGGACCAAAAGGCTGGATTCATCTTCGGGACTTTTACTCCACATTTTGATTCCTGCCTTCTCTATTTTCTGTGCTCTAATCTGCAACCTGTTCCTGTTCCTCCATCTTGTGCTTCTTTATCTAACCAGTGCCGCTAAGGGCACTGTAGAGTTAGGATTGAGTGGTTTTATAAACCACGAAGGGACCCTGTCCCTGGGGGAACATGGGTGAGACGTGTTTTTCTCATCTAGGAACCACTTGAAAACCCAATTAGACTTCTTCCTTCTTTTATGTGCACGAATTGTAATTGCAGCATTCTTAACACTAAAGATGTCATAGATCTAATTTGTTCTAGATCCTTCCATTACTCTTTCATGTAATCTTTTCTGACAGATTATGAAATTGGGAAATACTGACCACAGACAAGGCTAGGGGACTGAGACTCCACATTTTATGGAACTTGATACAAGTTCTATTTCTGAAAAAGCAGACTATAGAATAACAGACTTTTTTAACTTTTTAAGTCTTGAGACATTGAGATATAAACATGATGGCCTTATCACACATGCTCCATGTTACATTATTAACGAAATAACTGACTTAAATACCTTCCTTCAGTGTACCAAATTACTTTATTCTCATTGTTTTTTATCATGAGAAAGGAATAAATCATCACTTTAACCACACCATTTGAAGCATACCAGTTCAACATGTGGACAAATCAAGAATTTACAGTTCCACATTTGACAATCCGAGTGAAATATTTGTTTTTAATTCTATTCTATTATTTTGTGTATTCCATCTGTGACTGTATAAGGCCTTCTGAGCTATAAAGCCCAATGTCCACACCAACTGGGGATACTATATCCCACATCAGTAAAAAGCCCCAGTTTTCCCGTCTGCTTACTTATCAACATCATTATATTTGCATGATACCTGCCGAGTGACTACTTCAGCACATTCTCCAACAGAGAACGAGCAGCTGCCTCTTTGTCACACCTTCTCTCACCATGTACACTGTGCCATTTGAGGCCGACAGCCTCAGGAAACCAGAGCTGGAACAGAGTTTTACAGGTGTCACAGCAATGAACAGAATGAGAAACAAATGTGAAATTCTAAACGTCAGAGGATATAAGCCTTCTGTCATTTACCCTCACTAGAAGATGATGAAGCCTGTTCCACAAAAAACAGTGAATGTAAGCACTTTCAGTTTTTGCAACATCTGGAATAGACCGAAAAAAGGAATTTCCAATTAACATCTTTATGACACAAAATAACACAAAAATGGCTACTAACTAGCAAAGACTGTGTTTTTATTTAAAAAGACTCAACATTCAATTCATTTATATCATGCTTGAATTGTTCTGCAACTCCTTAGCAGATCTATTTGTAGATGTCTTAATACCTCCGTAGGGAAATACAAACCACTCAGAATTTAGAAATTCTCAAATGGATGCTTAAAACTCATCCCACAGCCATGGTGTTGATTCAAGTGGAGTATGTCGAGTGGAATGTCATGCAACCATTTTCTACATGCATTTGTAGTTCAGTGTTGCTGGGAGGGGCTGGTTTTTATCTCAGATATCAGCGGTGGAGTACACCTTCAACAGCTCAATAGTCTAGCAATGGACCACATACATACATAAAACAAAAAAAGTTCAAATTTAAAGTCACCAAACATTTGTCATGCATGATTTTGCTTAAAGCCCAAACAACCAGAATCACTACCCAGAGATCTGGGATTCAAAGAGATAACCCTCTTCCTGGGAAGCGTGCTGAGCACCACAGCAAAAACAATTGTGTTATATTTGTTATACTGTTAACATTTGTAAATGTTTAGAATATATTGCCTGATTTTTTTCACCTGGTTCCTGTAGCTGTGAACCTGGCTCATTTCTGCAGTAGTGATCAACTTTTGTTGGGTTAAAATGTCCCTCGAATATTGATTGGTCCTATACCTAGGTGTGATCAGACTAAGAGGGTTAGTCAGTAAAGGGTATGTTTCATATTCGTCATTCAGAGGACTGAGCGTGTGATGAGGAACTGTGACGGGCCTTGGACAAATAGAATTCTATCAGATATCTTTCTTGTTTTTCTCTCTAAGAGCAATGATAACTGGAAATGCTTATTCATCTCTAATGCATTCAAATACCGGACTATGCGTTCGTCAAGCAGATCAAAACACAATGAACACAACTGACGGTGGAATGCTAATACTCCCCCTCTCTTTGTTGAATTGCTCCATATCCTAATGACATAGGCTGAAGGTAGTCTACCTCAATCGAACAAAATATATGTGCAGCCCAATTTTACACTTACTGGCAGGAAGGGACAGGGACGCACAACTAAAATGGCTCTATTTTTCCTTCCCTCTTTGCTACCCTTTCTATTTGCATTCCCTGTCTCACTGGGTTCAGTTCAATGAGCAAGGACATATTGTTTGTGCTGAAGTCAAACGTGTGCCTATCTCCGCAGTGCAGCTTCTTTCAGAGCTCTACTAAACTGCGAGTGAACACAGTACATGTACAGCTAATAAGGTTAAATGAAGCCAGCTAATAACGGAGAAAGGCCATGAGGTAAATTGTGTGTGTGAGAAAAAGGCTGGATGTCCTCTCGTGCTTTGAAATATTAGGTACTTTGAGTGCTGCA